CCCAGGGTGGTACTATCAGGTAGTAACAACCACCCAGGGTGGTACTATCAGGTAGTAACAACCACCCAGGGTGGTACTGTCAGGTAGTAACAACCACCCAGGGTGGTACTATCAGGTAGTAACAACCACCCAGGGTGGTACTATCAGGTAGTAACCACCCAGGGTGGTACTGTCAGGTAGTAACAACCACCCAGGGTGGTACTATCAGATAGTAACAACCACCCACGGTGGTACTGTCAGGTAGTAACAACCACCCAGGGTGGTACTATCAGGTAGTAACAACCACCCAGGGTGGTACTATCAGGTAGTAACAACCACCCAGGGTGGTACTATCAGGTAGTAACAACCACCCAGGGTGGTACTATCAGGTAGTAACAAACACCCAGGGGGGTTGTACTATCAGGTAGTAACAACCACCCAGGGTGGTACTATCAGGTAGTAACCACCCAGGGTGGTACTATCAGGTAGTAACAACCACCCAGGGTGGTACTATCAGGTAGTAACAACCACCCAGGGTGGTACTATCAGGTAGTAACAACCACCCAGGGTGGTACTGTCAGGTAGTAACAACCACCCAGGGTGGTACTATCAGGTAGTAACCACCCAGGGTGGTACTGTCAGGTAGTAACAACCACCCAGGGTGGTACTATCAGGTAGTAACAACCACCCAGGGTGGTACCATCAGTAACAACCACCCAGGGTGGTACTATCAGGTAGTAACAACCACCCAGGGTGGTACTGTCAGGTAGTAACAACCACCCAGGGTGGTACTATCAGGTAGTAACAACCACCCAGGGTGGTACCATCAGTAACAACCACCCAGGGTGGTACTATCAGGTAGTAACAACCACCCAGGGTGGTACTATCAGTAACAACCACCCAGGGTGGTACTGTCAGGTAGTAACAACCACCCAGGGTGGTACTATCAGGTAGTAACAACCACCCAGGGTGGTACATCAGTAACAACCACCCAGGGTGGTACTGTCAGGTAGTAACAACCACCCAGGGTGGTACTATCAGGTAGTAACAACCACCCAGGGTGGTACTATCGGGTAGTAACAACCACCCAGGGTGGTTCTGTCAGGTAGTAACAACCATCCAGGGTGGTACTATCAGGTAGTAACAACCACCCAGGGTGGTACTATCAGGTAGTAACAACCACCCAGGGTGGTACTATCAGGTAGTAACAACCACCCAGGGTGGTACTATCAGGTAGTAACAACCACCCGGGTGGTACTATCAGGTAGTAACAAACCACCCAGGGTGGTACTATCAGGTAGTAACAACCACCCAGGGTGGTACTATCAGGTAGTAACAACCACCCAGGGTGGTACTATCAGGTAGTAACACCCACCCAGGGTGGTACTATCAGGTAGTAACACCCACCCAGGGTGGTACTATCAGGTAGTAACAACCACCCTGGGTGGTACTGCCAGGTAGTAACAACCACCCAGGGTGGCACTGTCAGGTAGTAACAACCACCCAGGGTGTCACTGTCAGGTAGTAACAACCACCCAGGGTTGTACTGTCAGGTAGTAACAACCACCCAGGGTGGTACTATCAGGTAGTAACAACCACCCAGGGTGGTACTATCAGGTAGTAACAACCAACCAGGGTGGTACTATCAGGTAGTAACAACCACCCAGGGTGGTACTGTCAGGTAGTAACAACCACACAGGGTGGTACTATCAGGTAGTAACACCCACCCAGGGTGGTACTTCAGGTAGTAAACCCACCCAGGGTGGTACTATCAGGTAGTAACAACCACCCAGGGTGGTACTGTCAGGTAGTAACAACCACCCAGGGTGGTACTGTCAGGTAGTAACAACCACCCAGGGTGGTACTATCAGGTAGTACACACCACCAGGAGGTACTGTCAGGTAGTAACAACCACCAGGGAGGTACTGTCAGGTAGTAACAACCACCCTGGTGGCACTATCAGGTTAGTAACAACCACCCAGGGTGGTACTTACAGGTAGTAACAACGACCAGGGTGGTTACTCTCAGGTGTACACAAACACCCCAGGGTGGTATGGCCTCCCGGTGGATCAGGGCCTGATCAACTAGGCTGTTACTGCTGGCCGCACGCAGTCCAACGTACGAGCCACAGCCCGGCTGATCCGGCACTGACTTTAGGTATCTGTCCAGCTCTCTCTTGAAGGCAGCCAGGGGTTTATTGGTAATTCCCCTAATGCTTGATGGGAGGCTGTTGAACAGTCTTGGGCCCCGGCCACTTATGGTGTTTTCTCTTAGTGTACCAATGGCGCCCCTACTTTTAATTGGGGGCATTTTGCATCGCCTGCCCAGTCTTTTACTTTCGTGGGGAGTGATTTCTGTGTGCAGATTTGGGACCATTCCTTCCAGGATTTTCCAAGTGTAGATTATGATATATCTCATGGAGATTATCTTGACCCCCTGGAGGTTATTTTGACCCCTAGAGGTTATGACTCTTGGAGATTATCTTGACCCCCTGGAGGTTATTTTGACCCCTAGAGGTTATGACTCTTGGAGATTATCTTGACCCCCTGGAGGTTATTTTGACCCCTAGAGGTTATGACTCTTGGAGGTTATCTTGACCCCCTGGAGGTTATTTTGACCCCTAGAGGTTATGACTCGGAGATTATCTTGACCCCCTGGAGGTTATTTTGACCCCTAGAGGTTATGACTCTTGGAGGTTATCTTGACTCCCTGGAGGTTATCTTGACTCCCTGGAGGTTATCTTGACTCCCTGGAGGTTGTCTCCTGGGTGAGACTTGTACTCATAATAGGAAGCTTCGTAACTCCTGTTCCCTTCACTCACATGGAGGTAAGTTCCTCCGAACTAGAAAGTGTGTGGGCTGGTATGGGTAGCTAGTAATTGGTGTGTGGGCGAGTATGGGCAAGCGGTAGGTAGTGTGTAGGCAGGTGGTAGGTGGACAGGTGGTAGGTGGTGTGTGGGTGGTGGTGGACAGGGTGGGTGCAGACTGCAGTAGTACTGCCAAACACTAGCCTAATCTTCCTCCTCATCTCTCTTACCTCTATACACGGTGTTGAAGCACCCGCTATAAGACTCATTTCTCAGTACTGTATATTAATGTTTAACATTGTATATATCCATCAGCAGTCACACCATATATGCGTGTGTGCATCCTTCATATATGTAACATCACCTGACTTGTTTCTTGGCCAACTTAGCGCACTCACCTCACACATTGAGGTCCGGGGATCGATTCAAGTTACGGGTAGAAACATTAGGACGTGTTTCCTTAAGGCATCTGTCGTCCATGTTCACCTATCAGTACAATATGTACCTGGGTGTTAATCGACTGGTGTGGGTCGCATCCTGGGGAACAAAACTGACCTAATTTGCCTGAAATACTTTACATGACAAGGGACTGTATAGTAGTATGTCAGTTATGTCACCTAGGCCTATATACCTTGTACATTTACTTGTAAAAATAAAGATTATTATTATTATTATTATTATTATTATTATTATTATTATTATTATTATTAACATAATAATTGGGGAGGAGGAACTGCAGGTATTGTCAGCCCGTAATGCTATGCATATAAGTGGCTTTGGCATGTTGCTCTTACCTGTATTTTTTGTACCTCTGTTTGTATGCTAAAATTTCTAAATAAATAAATAAATAAATAAATAGTGCTAAAAGTATTGGGTTACTGGTTAACTTCTGCACCCACAGTATTGTGACTATTATTCTTGTTAGTGTATATATGTTTCACTCTGTATAAATGAAAGGTTTATACTAGTGACAAGTAATGATGTTGCCACAGCAATATGATTCACGTACGGTAACTTGTGTCTAAAATATATATTAAACATTTTGGTCACGTCTGCTTTGGCATGGATTAAATCTCCATTTTCTGTTACAGTGAAACATTACACTGAGGGAGAACTATTTTATTTATGTAACACCAACATTCTTTGGGGATTTGCTTTTTTTTTTTTCACCATTACTCGTAATTTCGCGAATCAATGCGAATAAAAGTTCTTTGTGTTTATATGTATCAAAATGCTTTCTTGTATGTGACTGGCGAGATACGGCAGTGATCCTTCAGCCATCTTACAGATGGGGAATGATTTTTTATTTTTTAGCTAACACACGTGTAATTTCACCTTATTACTTAGTAATGACCCTCGTATTGTAGATAGTCTTAATGACCCTCGTGTAGTACACAGTCTTTTCATTATCATAATAAGATGTTATCTTCATTATAGAATAATAAGAAAATATTATAACCTGTATATTATAATAATAAGGTAAAAGGACCCCAATGGAAATAAGTCACTCTGTCTGACTTTTTTGGGTTATCCCAGGTTCTCTACACATATGCTGCTATGTATGATAATCTATGTAACTGTATTTGTGTATACCTGAATAAACTTACTAAGAATTCAACAATACATTTTTGGCTTGAGATCGAGAATATTTGCCCTTTCGTAAAAAAAAAAAAAACTGATGTGATTTATAGCCTATGTTTTACAACTAATTGGAAATATGGTTTGTGTTGTGACAAATAAACTGTAGTGTTAAGATTATTTTGTGGTTGTTTCTGTAATATGACAATAAAAGTAGTTGACGCTAACCAGTACAAAATTGTTGATAGTACCAAACTAGTGATGATAGTTACAAACTAGTGATGATAGTTACAAACTAGTGGTGATAGTTACAAACTAGTGATGATAGTTACAAACTAGTGATGATAGTTACAAACTAGTGATGATAGTTACAAACTAGTGATGATAGTTACAAACTAGTGATGATAGTTACAAACTAGTGATAGTTACAAACTAGTGATGATAGTTACAAACTAGTGATAGTTACAAACTAGTGATGATAGTTACAAACTAGTGATAGTTACAAACTAGTGATGATAGTTACAAACTAGTGATTATAGTTACAAACTAGTGGTGATAGTTACAAACTAGTGATGATAGTACTACACTAGTGTATCATGTGGGGGTTCGAACACGTGGATTGGGTAAAAATACTCACGTAGGCTGGAAGTACGTATATTGTAACTGAAGTATGTGGAAGGGCGCCACAGCCGAACCTGCCTCTCTCTGCCCCTTGACCAGACTGACTGAGGAGTGCCCATGGGCGAGGGGGCGCTTGAAATCCTGCTAGGTCAGCAACAATATGAATACAGCCAGTGATTCACGCAGAGACGGTTGGTAGTGAGTCATCTACTGATACACTGGTTACTGGTAACTGGTTACTACTACTGAGAAGTGAAGATAGTTACAAACTAGTGATGATAGTACTACACTAGTGATGATAGTTACAAACTAGTGATGATAGTACTACACTAGTGATGATAGTTACAAACTAGTGATGATAGTACTACACTAGTGATGATAGTTACAAACTAGTGATGATAGTACTACACTAGTGATGATAGTTACAAACTAGTGATGATAGTACTACACTAGTGATGATAGTTACAAACTAGTGATGATAGTTACAAACTAGTGATGATAGTAACAAACTAGTGATGATAGTTACAAACTAGTGATGATAGTTACAAACTAGTGATGATAGTTACAAACTAGTGATGATAGTTACAAACTAGTGATGATAGTTACAAACTTAGTGATGATAGTTACAAACTAGTGATGATAGTTACAAACTAGTGATGATAGTTACAAACTAGTGATGATAGTTACAAACTAGTGATGATAGTTACAAACTAGTGATGATAGTTACAAACTAGTGATGATAGTTACAAACTAGTGATGATAGTTACAAACTAGTGATGATAGTTACAAACTAGTGATGATAGTACTACACTAGTGATGATAGTAACAAACTAGTGATGATAGTTACAAACTAGCGATGATAGTACTACACTAGTGATGATAGTAACAAACTAATGATGATAGTAACAAACTAGTGATGATAGTAACAAACTAGTGATGATAGTTACAAACTAGTGATGATAGTTACAAACTAGCGATGATAGTACTACACTAGTGATGATAGTAACAAACTAGTGATGATAGTTACAAACTAGTGATGATAGTTACAAACTAGTGATGATAGTAACAAACTAGTAATGATAGTTACAAACTAGTGATGATAGTTACAAACTAGTGATGATAGTTACAAACTAGTGATGATAGTACTACACTAGTGATGATAGTTACAAACTAGTGATGATAGTTACAAACTAGTGATGATAGTACTACACTAGTGATGATAGTACTACACTAGTGATGATAGTTACAAACTAGTGATGATAGTTACAAACTAGTGATGATAGTACTACACTAGTGATGATAGTTACAAACTAGTGATGATAGTTACAAACTAGTGATGATAGTACTACACTAGTGATGATAGTAACAAATTGAAACAATTCTAGTTTTATACTAAATGCTGGTGAAGCCTGTTGGTCCAAGGTATTGGATCTATTTTTCCATTTTCTTGTATCGAACCTGATTACAAGATTCCTTACGGATTTAGCACTTCCCCATGAATGTAATAATGTTGTGTTTAGTAACATGTACAAGTTAGCTAATACCTGGTACTGCTATATTCAATTGAAGGTACAAGTTAACTAGTACCTGGTACTACTGGAATAACGTGTGACAGCACATACATAGTACGGCAGTCAGCTGTAACAATAAAACAGAGGAGAAACAATACATGTGTTGGTGGAGAGGAGTTGTGGTTGTTGCAGTGTTGAGAAACAATATATGATGGTGGAGAGGAGTTGTGATTGTTGCAGTGTTGAGAAACAATACATGTTGGTGGAGAGGAGTTGTGGTTGTTGCAGTGTTGAGAAACAATACATCTTGGTGGAGAGGAGTTGTGGTTGTTGCAGTGTTGAGAAACAATATATGATGGTGGAGAGGAGTTGTGATTGTTGCAGTGTTGAGAAACAATACATGTTGGTGGAGAGGAGTTGTGGTTGTTGCAGTGTTGAGAAACAATACATCTTGGTGGAGAGGAGTTGTGGTTGTTGCAGTGTTGAGAAACAATACATCTTGGTGGAGAGGAGTTGTGGTTGTTGCAGTGTTGAGAAACAATATATGATGGTGGAGAGGAGTTGTGATTGTTGCAGTGTTGGTGATGTACTCATGCCATGTTCTCACACGTACGTGGATGTCATAACCAAGTCAGGAGTACTCGGTGTTCTCTTGGTCATTGCTATGGGACCAATTGACGTCACCTTGACGAGGTTGCTGCTACCTCCAGTGTAATATCAGCAGTAGAACGGAGGTCACAGATGGTAAAAGAGGGAGGTAAGAAAACTTTTAGGGAGCCTAGTTAAATTTACAGGCTAAGTAAGAGCTGTTATCCTACCCCATGGTATTGCAAAGTTCAACCCTATCTAAGGTACACTAACAACCTTAAAATGTCCCCCCACAACAGTCCAGTAACATCCACGATACGTCTTTACTATCAAGTAAACAGAAAGAAAGAGGTGTAGGAATTATTTGCTCATACGTCTTGCCTGCCGAAAACGAACCCGAGACCTGACTCGTCACTATCAAAGCTTCACTCAGTCTGCCAAGAAAAACTTCTTCTTTCCTTGTTAAACTATAGTAATTTTAGTATATTTTTGATCTGGAGTAATAACTTTATGGTGATAATGTGTGGTTGTAGTATGTTGTAGGTACAAGATGTTTGAGCTCCTTCCAGTGTTACTCAGCAGCATCTCTCTAACCAGATTTAGATGAGTCAGATGAGGTATAATCACCTAGTGAGATGATGTAATGAGTGGCAGCATCTCAGCTCTACACAAGTTAACAATAAATGAATACAAGTTAACATTTACTCGCTCACACTAACGACGCAACAAATATCTAGGTAGGTATTACCAGCCTCTCATATAAGTTGCGAATGGAAGGAAGACTGTAAACTTTTTGTACTCTTGGCATGATTCCTTGTCTTTTATTTCTGTCTTGTAAACACGTAAGATGACAAATGTATCATACAGACGCCTGTTTACACTAGTAACCTATCTTTGCTTTCCCATATCTCTTAATAGTTATATTTCTGAAATATCTGTATAATGTAGGAGGTGTGAGGTGGAGTCGCGGGGGCCAGGATACCTGAAATAACATAGTGAAAAAGGCCTCTTTATGTGAAGATAAATATTCTCCTTTAACTCTCCAGTTGTCCCCCTCCCCCTATACTCTGCAGCTACACGGGAGGGAGGGAGGGAGGGGGAATAGGTGAGGAAAAGAACTGGATGAATGGTGGAGGTGGTGAGGGTGGGTGAAGAGTAGGGGATCAGGAGGGTGTTGGAGTGGGGGTTGAGGGTGTGGTGGGGAGGAAAGTGTTGGAGTAGGGATTGGTGGTGTGGTGGGGGAGGGGTCCCACTGCGTGTTGCTCCTGACCTTGTGAACGAACATTTCTGCGACTTTGTTCTTGGTCATCTCTGCTTTATTCTCATTGATTTTGTTCCTTTTCGTTGCGTTTAGCGAGTTTTTTTTTTTTTAGTTTTCCTTGAATTTGTTTTATAAGGTAGTGAAGGTGATGTGTGATGCCGAGGTTGTGGCTCAAGGTTACCACCTGTCTGTGTACTCCCTTAGGTTGTCTCTGCGGGGGTTGACCTCCAGCTTCTGGGCTCCGCCTTCATATTACCATTAACTGGTGTGGCTTACTCTTTGCCCTTTTGGGTAGTGTCATATCTATTTTTGAATTCACGTACTAAGTTGTCCTGGACGACACACCTTGCTAATACTCGCTATGTTCACTTTCCTCACACTGAAGCAGTTCTTGTCTTATATCACTCTGCCTTATTTAAACTTATCTTGTCAAGTTGTGTCCCCTCCTTGTTTAATACCGTATCAAATAATCTGTATTAATTTTTATGTATCTGTGAGTATTTTATATGTTTAATAATATTTCTCTCTCTTGTTCTTGGATCATCTAGCGTTCTTAAGTTATCTTTATATTCCAGCTTTTACATATCTAAGACCAGTCTTGTGGCACACATCTCGACTCTGCAAACTTTCTGTAGACAAGAAAAATCACAATATCATAAGTTAAGCAATTCATAACTAAGCCACAATTCAGAGGAGAAACTAAGGTGACGTTAGGTCCATCCTGAAGCATTAACAAGTCACCAGTGAAAGAGTTGAGAAAACAGGAGTCAGGGCGGATGATGCTGTTATTTAAGAGCAACAGCAGAGTTATGTCACCGGTGTTTAAAGATTACTGTACACTGACAGTGCACCGGGAAAGGCAAGAGCATCAACAGAAAGCCAAAATTCAAGTTAGAAATTTTGTTTATAAAGGCTGATGCAAGAAAGTGGTGTGTGTGAAGGTTAGAGAGTTTTGGCAGAGGACCAGTTTACTCTCATGGTGTATGTTTATAATCTTCATGGAATTAGTGTCGCTTTAACATAGTAGATGCAATATTTATTATGACTATTATCTTCTAGTAGTCATAAGTTGTATCTTGCCTGAAGTGCTCAGCATAACCTGAGCTTCACATGGATACTCTCAAATACCATCCAGTTTTGTAAGGCTGTGTATTGTATCTTTATATATTGAAGTTAGCAGGAGCAGCAGCAGCTGTTACTGGCCACATATTTGACCTGTGATCAACAACTGTTGAGTCAAGTTACAACTAAACATATAATAAATTACCTAACACCAGTTGTAAGAGTTGTCTATAGCAACATTTTATTAATAAATGTGAGAGACTTGAGTTGTGATTTGTTAAGAGTTTGTGGAGACAGACGTGACCTCAGCTAGATGATGGAACCTTCGGCTCACAATAGAAGAAAACGGGTTCAATTCCCAGGTAGGGCGATACTTATGCCTCCTAACATCTTGTTCACCTAGCATCAGATAGGCACTTAGCTGTTACTCAGTTATTATGAGTGGTACGTATACCTTACGTAAAACTGAGTTTAGAAATTAGTTGAGATAACAGCTCTTATTCCGTAAATTAAACTGTATAAAAAATAGTGAGTTGTTTGTTGATGACGTAGAGAGTGACGTTGGTTATCAAGCAAGAGAGTATTGTTAAGCAAGGTGTGTGTATTAACATCTTGTGTATTAAACAAGTGACTTTCATAGTGTCTGCCGCTGACTGCTTCACTCAGGTTACTCTAATATTCTCCTGTATTGTTATAAGAAGAACATAAGAACATAAGAACGAAGGAACACTGCAGAAGGCCTACTGGCCCATGCGAGGCAGGTCCAA